CTCAGAGTTGCTGTGAACATGCCTTTGACATGTAAACGTTTACCCCCTGGCCCCCTTAGGATCTTGGCAGGTTTCTCAAGTTCACTGAAGTGACTCTGGATATACAGTTTTTCAGACACCGCTGTCACATCAGCGCCAGTGTCGATTTTGAACACCGTTCTCTGACCATCCAGATCTACTTCTGTCAGCCAGGGACCCTTTTTCTCCTTGTCTGACACTGAGCCCAGAAACACAGTGCCCTCCTCAGGCTCTTCAGTCACTGTTGCCATTTCACGCAATTTCCCTGTTCTGCAGACCCTTGCATAATGTCCTTTTTTCTTGCACTGATTGCATGCTGCTTCTCTTGCTGGGCATTGATCCCAGCTGTGGCCTTTTGTATTTCCACATCTTTTGCACTGTCCTGCTGCATTTGATTTTAGGCTGCGTGCCGCCATGTTGGCGTGCGTGCACGCTGTCAAGCTGCATGTCCGCCTTAAACCTGCCGTTAAGCACTTCTTGTTGTCTCAATCTGTTCGCTTTGTCTAGCTCTATTAGCAGCTTTCTCTAGCGTTAGCTCAGGGTCCATTTGTAGTTGCTCTGATAAGCGTTTATCTTTTAAGCCAACAACAAATCTGTCTCTCACCATTTCGTCGTGTGGGACTCCGTAGCCACAGTATTCCGCCAGGCAGTGTAGAGGCAGTGTAGTGCGGTGTGTAATTTATCGATCGTCTCCCCGATCTCTTGCTGCCTTTGGTTGAACTTTGCTCGTTCAAAAATTACATTCCTGCGGGCCACGAAGTGAACATCCAGCTTTGTTTTCACCGCGTTGTAGTCAATCGCTTCTTCTGGGCGTAGATGCAGTGAAACTAGAATGTCCTCTGCTTCCTCTCCCATTGAGTAGATAAGCGCGTTTACCAGGTTTTCATCTGGTTGTACTTCCAAACCAGAGGCTATGCGGAATCTTTTAAAGCATTTTATCCATTTTGGCCAGTCATCCGCCTTTAATGTGAACTTTTCTGGCGGCAGAACTTGAAAATGACTCATTTCGGCGCCAACCTCGGTGCGCTCCCCACTCGGCAAAAAGGCAAAAGGGAAGAAGGAAAAACTCACACGGCTCAACTTTCACTTTTCCTCTAGCCACTCGCCGCATCCCACTTCTGACACCATGTTCGGGTTTTGTTATATATATCGGCGTAGCTGGGTTTAATAATACAGACGACCATGCACTCAGTGCTGTTCTCCGGTGTTCACTTTATTATCCTCCCCCTCACTCCAGCACTTAACATCTCCACCAAGGTTCCTCCCCCACAGGATATCACCTGATACTACACATACTCAGGCAGGTGAGCAATTAATAATTTTTGAACGGTCTCAAATGCTTTTATAAGCAAGTCGTGGCTAATTAGCTGCGCTAGCTTGCGCAGTACAGCACAAAGGAGTTCGGTGGTGCTAACAGCTAGCTGAATAGACACACTACAATATGCTGCTAACGGCTAGCGCAGTACACATGACGTGAAGCTCATTACGTAAAGTAAAGCTCATGATAATTCATGTTGACTGTTTAGCTCAAGTTACATTGTGTTTATACTCAGGCAAGTGAACACTGAATAATTTTTAAACACGTATTCACTTTTATAAGAGAATCGCGGCTCACTTAGCATGTCGAACCCTTATACAGTATTAGGCTTTGGCATGCTTACAGCTAGCAGAGTTTACACAAAGCTCTTTATTTAAAATAAAGCTCATAATTCATGTCAACTCTTTAGTTAAGGTAACATGGCATTTGTACAGAGGCATGTAAATGCTGAATAATTTCTGAAAGTTTGATTAGGTTATTTATTGTTATTAAATACATATGCTTGTGCTGTTGCAGAGTCTGCTAAGATGGCTGAGAAATGCCACATTTCTGTAACTACTTATCCAGCAGAACAAATTTAAGAAACTTATATTAACTTATTTGTCAATTATATATGCTAACACTGCAACATTAAATGAAAAAGCTAAACTTACTGTGGCATGTTTTCTCAGGTTAGAGATAGAATTTTTATATGTTGAAATGTCTGTTTTGGCAGACAGAGAAGACGCCACATTATGAAGCTGTTCTTTTGCACTGTGTGTAAGATAAATCATGCTTTGTATATGAGGCCAGGGGTGTTCACCCTCTTCTTTTGTAGGTTTGGAGACAGATGCCTCTGCCATTTTTATGTTTTCAGTCCCTGTTTACTACGGCTGAAGATTTTTTTCCCACTATGCCCCCGCCAGTTTGTATGTGGTTATGTGACTACATGTGGTTATTGTTACTGCAGCTGATTGGTCAAACAGAGTATGGTGAACGATGGTCAGAGTGTACGATCTGCTCAGTGTTTGTCTGATCTGAAGAAGCAGCATCATGTCATCCATGTTGGCTTGTCTCATGGTCTCCAGGGCTGATGTGATCTCTGGATTCAAATATGATCATGTCTCATCTATGTGCAGTAGGTGCAGTCCACTAAGGGAGGTCACTCGGCTGATAGCTATGTAAGCCATGCCACGTTCAAAAATGTGCTTCAATGAAAATACAGCTGCTGATGGTGTCATTCTCTGAACCTTGTGGATTGTACCACTCCTCTGTTTCAGGTTGTGTGCTCTTTCTATGTACACATGTATGTGTCAGCTGCACTCCATGCTCTGCGATAACTGTTCCATCCAGCTGTTTCATTGTCCAATCTTAGTTAATCATTCTATTCATCTCATCCTTCAACTATTTCAACAAAGCACTTCAGCCATTTCTTCTCATTATTCGGCTGTTTCAGCACTTGATTTCAGACATTTTCAGAGCTATTCTCACGATGTTTCTTTTCAATAGCCACACTGTAGTAGTCCTCAGGGTGTAAGACTACTCTCTCTCTCACACTCTCACACACAAAGACCTACTGTCTTACCTATTTTGTGGGGACCAACGGGAAAATGTTCACATCTTAAGTTCACCATACTTTCAGCTTGAAAAGCCATTCAGGTATCAAAATGTTCAGCTCTTGAACGACATTCCTGCTCGTATTTATTGCTTCTCATCCTTCAGATTATTCAACAAAGAACCTCAGCCATTTCTTCTCAACTATTTCATCAAAAAACTTCAGCCATTCCTTCTCATCCTTCAGCTGTTTCAGCACTTGATTTAAGGCATTTTCAGGGCGATCCTTTAGCTTGTTAGCATCCACACGCATTTTTGACAGGAAATGCATTTCTCTAGTTTTTGTAATGTTACAATAGCCAGTTGCGGATTAGTATTAAGATCCATTACTGTACTGTAGAAATAAAAGTTTAGAAGTGGCATAGCTTTAACTAAATTAACATACACTAATACAGCATTCTCTGCGTGTTTAGCAGCATATCATGTATACATGCATGCATGAAATAGATGTATCAACAGAACTCATTTTTAAATAGGTTATTCTATCAACTAAAGCAGATATTGCAGTAAGATTATTCTAATTCATTTGTTGATCATATGCTAAACTTCCTAAAACATTTTCAACGTAACTACTGACTATAGCTCATAAAGGTAGCTAAGAAAGAGTATAGTATTTGCCTCTGAAATGTAATGGATCATAGGCTTTTAAGTATCATAACATGGAAATACTCATGTAATTTACAAGCACCAAAAAACTGCGGCTGTGTATTTGTTATTGTACTTCATTATAATGTACTTCAGTCAAAATGTTGATTTATGCTAATTGTGTTTATTAACAGCAAAAATGTCAAAAACATTGTTCAGTTTTTATACTCAAATTTTTTTTAATAAATTTTGTATATTCTGTTTTTGTATCATACAAGTCATTCATACAATTTATGATATCGTAATTACACACGAGCTGTAACAAGCATCCACCTGTTACCCTCACAGACATGCATCATGCACACACAAACACTTTCATTCACACACACAGGGATACATATCCCATACACCTATTTAAAAAAAAAAAAAAGACAAAAATGTAAAACTATATTATTCCTCCACTGTGACCAGACTCACATCCTCTCAATCCTTATTTTAAAAACGAATATGACAATACTTATGTTTAAACAAAATAAAAAACAAACAAAAATGCAGGAAGGCAACTAAAGAAGAAAAGAGGGCAAAGAAACTCTGAAGACAAAGGAGGATAATTCAGATCCCAGAAGCACAAATGAGCCGTAATGCAAGGAGAAGAAGCACTGACTGACATCAGTTTGTAAAACGATTAACAATTTAGGTCCAACTTAGCTTTGTGAAGCTTTAATAGAAGCCACTGTGATCCTTTGTTTATGTTCATTCAGGTTTGTATCAATATGAGCCCACTGTATTAATAAGGGTACAGTATTAAGGAAAGCAACACAAACTAGTTATAAAGGTCACTCTGGAAGGTTTATGGCACAAATAACAGCATTGAGAGAAGCAGGTGCATAGTGGGGCCAAAGCTGGACCGATAAAAAGAGTGGTGCTGTGAAGTCAGGATGAAAACCATCTGCCAACATCTGGACGGTGTTAATAAAGGACACTTCATTGAAATATTCCCTCTGTCTCCACTAGAGGATCATTGGAGAGTAAGTAGACCAAAGCTTGTGTCACCTTACTTGTTAATTCATCCCATGGCGCACCCAAAAAAAGTTGAACTGATATATGATTTCAACTGCTAGAAACCCTTTCTGATGATGCTGTTTATAGCTAGCCATGGGTGAATTAGAAGACAAATACAGCAGAGACCTCTGGCAACTTCCAGGTTCATGGAAAAAGGAAAGACTGTATTCTTATGAAAGGCAAACATTGGAACACACTGGTCTCACAAAAAGGTTGTGCTGCTGCTGAATTTTTGACTATTTCCCTTCTCCGTACACTTTGTAAACAGATGACGGGAAAACCTTGAGTGATAATCCTACCTGCCCTTGGATAACGATGAAGCCAGCTGAGAATGATGGTGATATGTCTGCACAGACACTGTGGAGAATCTGCAGACGAGTATACTACTGAGGAGAGGAATATGAATGTGTAACAGAAGCATTAAATCTGGTACGTCCACATATGATGGAGCCACATAAAAACACTGCGTGTTAGTAACTGCAGTCAGTTGCTGCTTTGTTTTTGCATTGGAGCGCACATCGACTCTCAGTCCATACACACACACAAATACACATTCAAAGTTGGATTTGCTTCATTATTTGATATTTTCCCAAATCATAATCTCTCTCCCACACATTTTCATTCTCTCTCTCTTTCTCTTTCTCTCTCTCTCTCTCACTCACTCACACACACACACCAACACACACACACACACACACAAACAAGCCATCATCAGTCCTGGCCATCTTCTGTGCGCCACTTAAGGAAATCCTCCTTCCGGGCGTCTGGTTTGATCTGGTTCCGCATGCCTCCGAGCAGGTTGGACGTGGCTTCAGAGGCCACTATCAAGGGTCGAACCACGGTGGGTGGGATCTGCCGCAGGACGCCGCCCACAGCACCAGGTAGACCCTTCTGCTCATGGCCACGGGATGCTACATCGCACAGAGTCTGAGCTGTGTCAATCACTCCCTGGAGAGCAGAGAGAGCCCAGAGAGGCATGAGTGAAATACTTAGTGTGTCAGTACATTTACATGCACACAAGAAACCAGTTGATGGAACAAAATCTGGTTATGCAAAAAATACTGAATTCACTGTCAGAAAATAGTTGCCAGAGACGATGTTTTCAAGTTGCTTTATGTCCAAACAATAGTTTGATACCTAAAGATTTCCAGTTTACTATCATAGAAGACATAGAAGTTTTGCAAATGAATTTTCAGTTGATCGACTAATTGTTTAAGGAACAATTTGGTTTAGACTGTCTTTACAGTGGATTGTTTCCAAAGGTTGAGAATGAACATGAATGAATCCTGGTTATGTGTGACTGAGAAATCGCTTTCAGGAAAAATCTTGATGTATACATTTTTTCTCTAATCCCAACCCTGATTTTAGATAAACTGTGTTTCTCATATAATCACAATCATATTACAGAAAGTCAACAGTACAGTTTCTGCTGGGATGTGAAAACAAGGGCGCTGGAAGATGAGAGCCTGTAACTACTTATTTCTGGATTCTCTATTCTCTAGATAACCAGAATTGGGAGGATAAGTCTGGGGACGCACCTCTCTGACGGTGTCGTAGGCCTTGGCCACACCTTCTCTGAGATCTGCAGGTTGGGCAGCTCTGCGGGGCCGGCCAGAGGGGGCCCGGCCCTCAGTGATGGCATAGCGATTCAGGGGAGGTGTTGGAGAAAGGATGTCATACACTGTCTCTGCTGTAGCCTGTAAAAAGTGCACACAAAGCACAATATAATTTTTCTTTTTTGAATCTAACAATAGAGAATGTTGTAAAGATTGTTAAGAGCTTTGAGGCTAATTTGTAATTTGTTATTTGGGCTATATAAATAAAATAAACTTGACAGACATCAAGCACCGGAGGCCCTGCTTATTCAACAACAGGTGAAGGACACAACAAAGAAATTTCACAAGAATTTCTTGACCTTTTGTCATCTTTGGGTTATATTGCTTTATAACGAGCAGTCACCTGAAAAAAGGTTTTTTGCACCACTCATGACTTTCACTAAAAACACCTTACTCAGTACCTGTATGGCCTGCACCAGCCTGTTGCTGAGCTCCAAAGCAGCTGATGCAGTGGAGGTGCCAAAAGATGCTGCCCCCCTCTGGAGACCCCGAATAATGCGTCCATCTTTCCTGTACTGCTCTATGGGCAACCAGAACAGATCCCTCACTCCATGGACTGGAAAGAGGGAAAAAGAGAATGAACCAAGAGATAAAACAGAATACAAATATGTAAATACTGAGCTCAAACAAGAGTGTGACAAGAGCAGTATCAACTCACACAGCTGGACAACAGAGTGCATAGGGCCAACACCTCCCAGGATGCCCGGCAGCTGATTTTTCCTGATATCTGTCAGCCACTCTGTGACAGCATACTGAATCACTTTGTCTACACCAAGGAGACTAGAAAGTGTTGCAGAAGAAATACAAAGAAACTTACAATTAAAAACTCAACAGGTATGTTTTTCAAACACAGCAATCTAGTCTCAAAAACACTGAACAGATTTGGGCCAGTTACAAATAAGAAACTTTCTCAGATAGTATAAGTCTATCTCAAGCAGCCAAAGAGCCGTCTGTGTTGGTATGGAGGTGTGTGCTTCTACCCATGTCTGCAGCAGAGCCTCTTCAGTTTCAACTCAGAACAATTTAACTGGGCCAGACCGATCAAAATCCCAGCAAACGTTCCCTATGAAACAGGGATTAAAGGAGGGTGAAAACGCAGCTGGTCTGAACAATTATTTCCTCATCAAATACACAGAATTCCTAAAGATTTCTTTATTATAAACTTCTGATCAGGCCAGGTGTTTGAGTGATCTCTTACCTGTTCAATGACGACATGTTTGCCTTGATAGTCCAGCCAGATAGGCACTTCAGAGGTGAAACGAAACTCCCTGAAAATGGACAAAGGGAAGGAAGAGAGAAATGTTAAAAACAGCTTTCTTTACACCACAGAAAAACCTCTTTGTGTTTGGCTGCAATAAAGGCCCGATCATATTACATTTCTAGTATATTTCATGCCGTTTCCATTCACTTCTACTGAATCCTGAATGACGGATAAATCTGAGTACGTTTCACTGTGATCTCCTGCCAGCTCTGGTGGATTCACAGGTCAGAGTTCACATTTGTTAACCGACACTGAAGCGGTGTGTCCCAGCTGTCCGCATCCCTCTCCTTCTCTTTTTTTTTTTTTTTTTTTTTTTTTTTACAATTTGTGACTGTGCTGATTAATATTCAGTTTCTTTTATTGGAGTTATGTGCAGGTAAACTTCATTGAACAGAAATGTAACATGACAATGCTTTTAGCGGCTATATACCGGAAGTAGATTGGCTGGTCGGAGGAGGAAGTGGAGCCTGCAGACGAGGAGCTCTGCTCACTGTAGGTAGTTTCCATAGAAGCTGTAAGATCAGGGCCCAGACCAGCAGCTGCCTCCACCTCCTCCGACACCTTCAAGGTGTGATCTGCCTTCGCTGAAAAAAAATGTAGAGAAATAATACACATTCACCATCTTGAAATCATTATAGGATCATTTAAAAATGTTCTGCAGCCAGTGAAAACTAATTGTATCACAGTGATGATATGCAGTACTTGAGAGAGGCCTGTAAAATTTATTTTGTTAAAAATCTTGATTTATGTCTTTGACAAAGGCCCTCATCATTAAACATAAAAAACAACTGATGAAATGTGAAGCAAAGAGCATAAAAACATCATCAGATGTAGCTGACCTTCAGTTGCAGGGTCCACAGGCAGGTAAGGGTTCACAGAGGAAGCCAGATTGCTAAAAAAGTCTTTCAGGAAGAACAGTGCATCCTAGACAGGAGACAGAAAAAAAGGCTGGTTACATGTGGAAAGGTTCCAGGAGTAGCCCAAACTACCAGCCTGTGTAAGAATGAATGATGCCAAATATTAATCAGTGAGCCAACGAGACATTTCTGTGACATGTGCAATGACTCATTTTTTGGGGGGAGGATAGTGAAACAGAGGAGTAAACCACTTGAAACTGCAAAGAAGAGATGTACTAGGTACGACACAAAACTAAATTACTCATGGATTTAATAGGCTTATCATTTACTTTAATGGCAGTGATATAGTACTGTTAATTTTTTTTCATTTGTTATTAATTACAACTGGAAATCGACTATAGTTGATGGAAGCAGTTATACATATAAGAGTAAAGTTATGGTGGCATGAAAACAAAACCAGAACACAAAATTTTACAGCATAATTGAAGGCTTTACCCAGGTACATTTGGATGTCGTGTTTTACTAAAACTGATTTGTTTGGGCAAGATTACAGCGTAACAGTTACTATGCAGTCTCAGCACCAGAGGTACCTGGTCAATGTTAAGTCGTAGTGGCAACAGGCTGACACGCAGACAGCACTCTGGACCACCAAGCCCAGACTCTGGACAAACCTGCAAGGCCTTAACTGTCAGCTGCAAAAAGAAAACACAACCAATATCACCTGATGGTAGTAGTAAATAATTCTTAGTACTCATCTTCATTCAATATATGTAATAAGACAAACTGAATTCAGTGAGGTACATTTTAATCACAGAAAACCAGGAAACATTTGTCACTAATAGTTTATAAATCAAAGACTGTTTCTGTCTGTCCATCCCTGCCTTTCTGTCGGCTCACCATGTTAGAGTGGGCTCGGCGAGGCATGCTCTCGCTGGTGTAGAGGTAGAGGAATTTGTTGATCTGTGAGGAGGCCAGCCGGTCTCGAACCTCCAGCTCCTGAACAATGAAAACCTGCCTGGAGAGGGGCTGCTCATCCCTGGGGCCAACCATGACCCCAGCCACTACTGACCCATCCCCATCCTGCCCTGCTACTGCCACTGGGTAGGACTCATGCTGGAAGGACACCTGGGGAACAAAACAGGAGGAATGTACTGAAGAAGACTGTGGTTATGTGTGTTTCGTGCAAAAGTTTGGGGATACTGGTAAAGACGCCAACTCACTGGAAAAGCTATAGTAGTTTAAATAATTGAAGCAATACAAGTTAATTTTAAAGAAGCTGTCTGACAAAATATCTTTATTAATTTCATTGTCAAGAGTTACATGAAAAGGTCAATGCCACTCACATCCGTGTATGTAGATAAGCAGCTTGTTAAGTTTAGCTCAGCATAAAGGTAACATATTTCCCAACAGGTCAAACATGTCCTTTGTCATTTCAAACAAAGATGTATAGCTGAGGTAAAACGTTTCCCAGCCTGCACATATACCTTGGTGAGCTGGATTTCCATCAGCAGTGTGTGTTGACGCCCACTGCCTCCAGCCCAGCGCCAGGAGTTCTGGGGACGCGAGGAAGCAACGGCGCGAGATGGAGAGCCACGAACACCAGCAGGGACTGAACGACCTCTGTAGAGAGAGGAGAGTGGGAGAAAACAAAACAAACAATGGACATAAGTGAATTATCATGTCCATTAATGTATATATTGAATGAGAAACTACATTTCTGTGCATTTGAGAACCTGAGTGTGGCCCTGAGTGTGTGTTACCTGTTTGCATTCTGTGCATGCATGGACATAGGCTTGCCACCAAAGTCCTTGCCCCCATAGAGATGCCAGACCACAGAGATCTCCCTCAGCACCACCCTGCTCTGGGGCACAGGGAAGCGGCTGGGGGCTCGAAGCAGGTCTGAGCTGCCTCGAGGCCTTGAGAAGTGACTGTCCTTCACCCTGATGGGCTCCTGAGAGAACACCGTCACCACAGGCTCCCCATCCCTGGGCTGTAACAAATCCCATGTGTGCATATTTTGTGATAAGTCTGAATAGGAAGCATGCTGGGAGAAAGTGAGCTAACAGCGAAGAAAAATCTGATACAGACAAAACAGGACCATAAAAGCCAGGAGGGACTCACAGGAATGCTCATGCCAGGAGCCTCCAGGATGCAGAAGTCGTCATTGTCAGTGGACTCATCTGAACCTTCCTCTGACAACATATCTGCCTGCACCTCTGTTGCTGTTGTAATCAACCCATCAAGCTTAGAGTCCTCCCCCTGCAGGTCTGAGGGGCCAAGCTTCAAGGCTTCACCAGGGAACAGGTAGACGGAGACAGGCGAGCCTCTCGGCATGGAGGGCGAACCTCAACAATCACACAGAGTCCATCAGTCACTTGCTGAAAACTACATGCAAATATTTATGGGCTAGCAAGTTAGCACCATAAACACACTACCCCTTGTCAAGTAACTAAAAACCCCCTAAGCATGTGTGTGGTACATAGAGATACAAATAACATCCTTTCTTGTCAGATTTTTTTTTGTTGTGTTACAGGAATCAGAGAAGCTGGGGTCCTTGTTTTATTTATAGCCCACAGTCCTCTTATACACAAGGAAACATAGCTCACTACTGAACTTTACTAAAGCATATTCTGTTATGATCTGATTTGTATAAAAAGAAGAGAGACAGACTCTGCAGTACCTCGATCTAAACTCTCTTCTTGGTGGCTCTTCTCTGTGTCAATTAAGGCATCAGCCAGATCGTACTGGTTGATCTCAGCGGTTTCAGCCGGAGGGCAGGGTGGCAAAGAGGCAGGACTTTCTGAAAGCTAACAGGACAGCATGTTAAACGGTGAATGAAATATTTTCACATATAAGTGGAATAGTTCTTATTGATTGTTAATCTTTATTAAGCATCTCTGAGTGTCTCCAAAAGCACTAGATAAATAAAGTGTATTATTTACACAACCTTTCAACGTGTACTTAGTCATTTTAAGCCATTTTGTAAAACCAAAAATGTTATTATCTATGTTGCATCTGTAACTGACCATTCATTCACGTTTCCTTATGTAGTAAATTGTAAGACATACTTTCTAGGCTGGCAGATAAAAACATTAAATCAAACTTTTTTTTTGACTGCTTGTGATGTTTGTCATCCACCTAACTTGAGTTTATTTTAAGTCATACAGCGTCAGTGCATCAAATAAATGCATCAATCTCAGGTTCTGTCATTAGTTATTATCCATCCATTATCTGTACTCTGTCATAAATACACAGGTCTTACTGGTAATTTCTGGCCAGCAATCTCAGTGGGTGAGGTCTGCCGCGGCGGGGGGTGCAGGTCACCCTGGGAGACCAGGTACTGTAGCAGATTGACCAGGGCAGCACAAGAATCAGCACAGGTATGAAGGTGGACCACATTGTTGGAGCAGCGGAGCTCGAAGAGAGGCTGAGACTGGAAAACAAAAAGATGAAACACCTCATTAAATAAACACCCAGAGAATCAATAAAAGGAGGTGACAGAGATTTGTTCTGCAAGAGGAGGGAGGACAGGAAAAGAGGAAATTATGTAGGGGGCTGGGAGGGGAGGGAAATAACAAGAGATATTATCAATCAAAACTTTACACTGTGGGAGATTCAATCAATTAGTAGCAGTGCTGAAGAAGTTGTTAATTCAGATCTTTATCTGCCCATACACTTGCGCACTATCATGGAATGTACTGTAACACTGACCAGATTTTCTCAGAGTTAATTATGCATTTGATGCTTTCCTCTTGCCTACAAACACATTGAGAGCCTCTGCACCAAAGTCAAATTCCTTGTATGTTCATAAATACTTGGCCATTAAAGATGATACTGATTCATCTTCAAAATTACAGTGGATGATCCAAGTAAAATGTCACAGGTAAAAGCTAAAAAAAAAAGCAATCTGGTGGAAAGATGCACTTTTCTGCCCATTTTCTTCCATTTTAAAATGCCTTGAAAAGTAGTTTTTTTCACCAATAAATCCGATTACCCAATGCTAAAGCTGCAGCGATTCTTACTGACAAACATGCTGGTGAACACTGTACAACAAATACTAGGCTGCTGTCTCAGCCCCAAACTCTTCACCCTGTACACTCACGACTGTGTCTCCAACCATGACAACACCATCATCATTGAATATGCTGATGACACCACCATTCTGGGCCTCATCAAGGGGGGAGACGAGTCGGGCTACAGAAGCTTGGTGAATGACATTCTTGTTTATGGAGAGGAGAATGACCTCATCCTCAATATAAACAAGACAAAAGAAATAATAATAGACTTCAGGAAGAACCCCTCCCCTCTGCTGCCTCTGACCATCAAAGGGACTGAGGTGGAGAGGG